GTAACCACTACTTCGTTGAGAAACCAAGTGGTAGGATTATTGCCCGTAGTTCTATCAGTATCTGGCGCGTTGTGTATGAATCGACTATGAAGCGCGTTTCTAGCGAGATCATTTTGAGCGATTACAGACGAGACAACGATTATAGTTTACAATTAAATCGTTGGTTTCTGAAATCGATAGGCGCTTGGCCAGAAATACAAACAAATTTAACTAAGAATGTTTTAATAAATGTCTTGCGATTAACGTGTCATTCATTAATAGCTTTTACCGTAATATCTGCTATATTATATATATTATTCGAAGAGAAGGATTTCCGTTTGAGACTCAAGGCTATTGGACCTACGAGTCATATTCTCATGGGTGGAATTAATTACTTCTCGCTCCTGCAGCATAATAATCGGATACGCACGTCTATAGAGCATATGGAGACCGATTGGCGAATGGTGAAGAGAGAACACGATCGGGAATTAATGCTACGAAACGCGAGAGTGGGACGTGTTATAGCGGGCATTTGCGCGCTCATCCTGCAAGGTGGCGTTATTTGTTATAACATAGCGAGAGGAATGTCACGAATATCCGTGGAAATCGGCAACAAGACGATTGAAACAGGTCGCCTACCTTGTCCATCTTTCAACAAAATCATAGATACCAGACTCAGCCCAGTATATGAGATCGTGCTCGCGTTGCAGTGTCTTTCGACCATCGTGGTAAATAACATCACGATCGGTGCCTGCGGTCTCGCCGCGGTTTTCGCAATGCATGCATCCGGCCAACTCAATGTAGTGATGCTACGTCTCGAAGAACTCGTCATCGAGCAACAAGATCTCCTTCAGCTGAGACTGGCGAACATTGTGGAGCATCACCTGCGAACCTTGAGGTAAAAACTAATTTTAAAAGATTATATACAAATAAATTTTAATTGTCTACAAGAAATGATACGGTTGTATATTTTATAAACTTTGACTGATTCTTGAATAACTAAAACTAATTTCTCATAAAATATTATAATTTCTCGTAATTTTTGTCTGAAAAAAGTGCCAAAAAACTATAATATGTGGAAAAATTACCTTATATCTTTTTTTTCTAAATATGACATATTTGCAGAATTGCAACTGTCGCGGCTGTAAGATATTCGGATAAAAAAATTGTATGTCTTTAACGTCGCGGCTGTTGCTGGATGTGTCGATTGCAGGTTTCTTTCACATTTGGAGGCAATTATGAGTGAGATATGTTTTGTGGAATTAATCGGGTGTACATTCAACTTGTGCATGTTAGGATATTACACCATTACGGTATGCTTAAAATTTAAGGAAGGTGAATATGTAACAGACTGACTATCGTTACTATATTTATAGTAGTTGTAAATGTTATTACTTTGTGCATTCTTCCAGGAATGGCATGAAGAGAGTATAAATACTATAATAACATATA